TATACCCGGCTGAATTCTCACAGCAGTAGGTTGAGCACCAGATTCACGTCTGCATCAAGCAGTCTGCAGGTCCATAATCCACCTCCATCTCTGCCTTTGCCCAGAGAGCTGGATGGAGTTCTTTATTTAGTGACTCAGTCAATAGCAGTTCATTGCTAAAGGGTGTGGAGGCTAGCAGTAGCCTAGCAGTAGGCCACTTACATCATCAAGTAGTTTAGGTTCAGGTAAGGATCCTGGCCATAGGAACTTCCCTTTTCCCCACATCAGGTTATTTTATTGTAGCCTTAAGGTTGTGCCTTGCCAGAGGAAAGTTTAGAAAAGTTCTTGCTACAGGGAATATGATTAGTTAATATGTCTCTACTGGCATAAAAAATTCATCTGAGAGGCTCACTCCATGAGACTGCAAGTATTCTGGGGTGACCTAGTAGACTCTGGGACTTGAAACAAACTGGAGTCTTAGGACTGAAAGGACCTCAGAAGTGCTCTAGAATCCAGGGCCTCCCAAATTCTCCTGAGGATAAAATCCACCTGGATCTCTTGTATTTTTTTTTTTTTTAATGCCCAGTCCCAGTCTAGACCTACTGAATTTCTGCCCAGAGTCGTCTTATAACCTATATGGTTTAAAGAGTGCCTTAGGTGAGCCTACCATCAAGGAGGTCTGGAAACACTGATGATCAGTCCCATTCCATGCCCCCAAGCCCCAAGCCGTCCTAGGAATCACCTGTGCCTGCTTCTGACAGCTGCTCTTCATTCTTCTGAAATACTTGCAGTTGTCATTTCCTATCGAATAAGTTATCCCTTTCTATGCACAAATTCTGGCTCCCTATAATTTCCCATTAATCCTTGCTCTTCTTGCAAGCACAGAACAATTTATTTCCTCCTTGAGCTATAAACCTGTTTGTTTCATTTTATTTTCAAAGCAAATCTTTGATACTGCTGAGAAAAATAGTTTTTCTTTTAATGAGATCTTGTAATAAAATTTCAAATTAAAGCATTGCTCACATAAAAATACAGTGACATACCTCTTTGAACTTTTTAAATAGACTCCGTCTCTGCAAAGTAATCAGGCACCAGCCCATATAGCCTGAAAAAGGATGCGTACACCCAGGGCCTCTGGTACCAAGAGCTCCAACAGTCTGCAGGTTAAAGACTTATCATTCATTCCTATGATCTAATTATATTACATTTAACATAAATAAATTTAACAAAGATTTACTGAGTGTTTACCATGCACTAAGCACTGAGCGCTAATTCATCTAAGTGGTTTGATTACATTTGCTGGTGGATGAATTCAGTGGCTTTGTCTCTAATCATAATTTTAGCAATTGGGAAGAGTTTCAGAGGTCCTCTGATGCAACCAACTTTTCAATCCACTAAAAACAAATAAATGTGATAGAGATTCTGTTCTTTGGGACTCCACCATCTAGTAAGAGAAGCAATATTTTTTAAATAAATAACATTAAACAAAATTTAAAGCATCCATTCATTGGGTGTATGAATAGCCCATCTGTCTGCCTCTGAAGATGAATTCATCCACCTCTGTGATGTAACGGAGGGAGAGAGTGATCAGTGTGAGCTTGGAGGTGGAGTGCTCAACTCCTCTGGGACCCAAGAGAGAGAGAGAAGAGAACATTTGAACTTGCTTGCTTTCATTTATTTATCACACTGTCACACTGTTATCTATTCTCCCCTGTATAATGAGTACTAGGAATAGGAAATACTAGGACACCTTGCCTATTCTCGTAGGTTACAGTCGATCTTCATGACTTGTAAATTCTATATTTGTAAATTCACCTACTTACTAAAATTTATTTGTAACTTCACAACCAATACTCATGGCAGCCATGTGCAGACATGCACCAGAGGACATTTGAGTTGCTTCACACTCATTCCCAGCTGAGGTCAGACAAGCTCTGTCTCAGCTCTCATACTCTAAACAAGTATCCATTTCACCACCTATTTAATGCCACCTTTTTCATGTTTTTGTGCTTTTCATTGGTGATTTCACTATTTTAAATGGCCCCTGAGTGTGCTATCTAGTGCTGAAATGCTATCTAGTGTCCTAAGCACAAGAAGGCTGGGATGTGCTTATGGAGAAACTACAAGTGTTAGATAAGTTTCCTTCAATCACGAGTTACAGTGCTGTTGGTCATGAGTTCACTGTTAATGAATCAATGATTTGGTACATTAATAAAAAGAAGAAAATGGCCAATCCGCATGGGAGTCTGCTCTGGAAAGTGCTTCAGTAATATCCATAATGCATGACGGAGCTATGGAAAATACGGAAAACTGATTGAACTCATGAATTCATGAGATGATGACTGATTGGGGAAAAAAAAGCATAGCGGACAGCACTGTAAGCCTGAAAACCAAAGAAATTTATGGTAACATTACCCAATCAGGAAAATGCTAAACCCTCCTCAGCTAGGGTTTTTTAAACAGAAATATTGCATATTGTTAATTATTTATAAGAAATATATATTAAATTAGGTGTCTTCAAACAGAAACCTACATAAAACAAATTTATATATTGAGCTATTGATGAAATGTTATGAGCAGAGGCCCACAGAAACCTAACCCTCTATTTCCCCTAGAAGCAATGGCTCAGTATTTGCTAATTTGCTGTTCAGAACAACTATACAGAATGTAACTGCTGCAAATAATGAGACTTGACTGTATATGAAGTATGAGAAACAGGAAACCAATCTGTTTACAAGTGATCACCATTAAGTCATTAAGCCTCCTGAGCAGGGTTTCAGGGGTACCCCATGGATGTGACCAGGTGACTAGGTTCCACATTAAAATACTTCTTTTTTCATGTAAAAGCTTTTGCAAGAAAATTTTATGTTTTTGGTTTTTAAATTACTTGTCTATGAGCAACACTTAATTTATAATTAGCTATGATTTCTTCACAATCATCAGATATACTTAGGAAATCTAGCCCATAAGTCATTTACAATTATGAGTTAAAACTTTTACAATTAATGATGCATATATAGCATTATGTTTGGTAGTCAACCACTTATTTAATATTATCGATGATCAATTTCACAATTTTTAATTTGGTAGCCAATAATTTTTGTTTGTTTCAACTCATTTTTTTTTCTTTAGGCCCTGAAAAAGTTCATATTCTTTGGTCACAAGAGTTTGAGGATTGTGAAGCTTATGCGTTTTGGGTCAAGGGGACAGGAAGCTGGAGCTTGGAGGGTGGGCACCATTGGGGTTTTCCAAATAAGGGAATTGATGAGCAAAGGCAGAGAGCTAGAAAAGCAGGAAATTATGAGCACCTCATCCTGTTCATTAGAATACCAGCAAGTGATTGTATATAGAGGAACTGCCTGAACTTGAATTACAGGACGGTCAGGTTCTGGGACTGAGCAAGTAAAGGTAAAGTCCAGGTTTTGAGGCTACGTGTCTAAACGTATTTGTAAGAATATAAACCCATAAGCCCTCAAACCCAAAGGGAAAGATTACTGGTGGGAGCGCGTGGGCTGTGGTTCCTCCTCCCTGTGACCTGCTCACAGGTTGGATCACTGTAGCCTGGGTTCATGGGCTTTTCCGCTGCTGGTGTGTCATAAGGTGGAGCTCAGCTAACTCATCCACGGTTCCCCATCCTGCAGTTGGCTTTGTTGACGTTTTTATTGCCTGTTTTTATTCCTAAACTAAAACTAGGTTTTCATCTGATGGCATTTCACCTGGTTGGGTTGTGCCCTACCACTCTCCTTGGTTGAGCTTGTTTTAAACTATCCTTGTCTTCCTTGAAGGTAGCTCAGGTCCCCTCTCATTGTCAGAGGCAGGACTTCTGGGCATTTTGCTTTGTTGTCATGTAAGAATCAGCCCATGCCCCTCACATTCACTAAAGGAACAGAGGACAGAGAGGCATCCTTCCAGCCTCTTTACCAGGCAGGCAAAGCGCATCTCCCCTCAGGTCCTAGGGAGCCAGCTTCCTGGTGACCGCCCTGCCAGGTCCCCCAAAGGACTCGCTGAGAATCTGCTGTCACCCCCTCGTCACTCCCACCTGAAGCTGCCTCTTCCTGAATCTCTCCCTGGTGTTTGTGGAAAGGCTGCTTTTGAAACGTCTCCTGCTCCTGCTCCTTGAAGATGTGGTAACCTGCAGCCAGGACCAGCAAATTACACAGCTACATAATTTGCAGGGCCCTGTTTTCAAAAAGCATTAGGAATTTCAAGACATCAGCATCAGAGCACTGAAGCAAGTGTGCACCCTTCTGGGAGTGTGGGCTGTGGGCCTCGAGGCCACAAGGAGTGAGGCCCTGCAGCTGGCTGAGGGTCAGTGCTTCGGGAGACAGTGATTTTTCAGCACATCCCCACCTCCTCCTGACAGAGCCCTCATGCCTCCCAGCACACCGTCCACCTGGTGTCAAAGGCATCCTCACCCTCTTGGGTGTTCCCAAGCCTGTTCACACTGCTTAACCAGGAGACCTGCTCTAGAGAAGGATTCTCTATTTTTCCACTTAATTCACTCAAAATCCTCTCCACCTAACCTTTTCCGTGCTTCAGTAAAATAGATGTTGACCTTCTGGGTAAAATTTGAATATTCTCACATAGACACAAGAGCCACAAAACATAGAAGACATCCTTGACACCCTGTTAGGATGCCATTCCAGGGCTACGCACAACCCAGAGAGTGGCTATCAGCCGAGATTTTCTTTCTGGAGAGAAGAGTCTGGGGCAGCCTGGGGACATCCTTACATTTGCAAAGTCCCGCTTGACAACAGTCCTGCTCAGTAGCAATAGGAATGTTACGGTCTTTGTTTTTATCAAGATGAGGGAACTGAAGGCGAGGTCCACACCAAGGAGGACCCCAGCCCTCCTATCTCACCATTACTTCTGTCCACACTGGGGCATTTTATAAACCATAGCTTAAGGCTTTGAAGCAGCTTTCATTCTATTTGTTCATGAAAGAATCAGCTCTGATTTCTGCTTTCATCCAAAGGCAGTAAGTTTCCAGCTAATTTTTATTTCTCATTTTGACTCTTCAGAGACAACCCTGCTACCCAGTTTAACCTCAAGACTCACATGAATTCCTGGGATCTGAAGACAGCCATAGAGAAAATTACCCAGAGAGGAGGGCTTTCTAATGTAGGTATGTGATCCAGATTCAAATCCTTCTTACCACTTTCTATGTGGTTGTCTTCTAACATTCTGTGTAGGAGGAGGAAAATGTAATGATGATCCATCAAAAAATGACTCACATGCTATCTGTTCTTTCAAAAATATTACCATGGATTTAGGGGCCAACAATTGTTATCGCACATATTCTGGAGCATTCCAGTATGCCTGGTTCCTGGGATGGCAGCTTTCTTCAGGACAAGCAGGACTTGTTTACAAGTCTCACCTATTTAACATTAAATTTTGTTACCAGTTCTGTTCAGGAAGCTCCACGGCGCCCTTGGGTATCGTCTTCCAATCAGCTCCTGTTATAGTGAGGACCGTGCAGAGACACATGTTCTTTGTGTTACACTGAGTTTCCTGTGATATCTGAGCCTTGGCAGTGGGGGCAGTTTACCAGAAGTTCAAGGCCTAGCCCTCAGTGGGGCAGGTCCAGAAATCTCATTTTGTCAGTTGATATCGAGGTGCCCAGGCATTAGGAAACAAGTTTCATATAACCTAGCTCAAAGGATGCCAATGAGCCTGTGCCAATGTATCAATTTATAAATGGTAGTCTGGCTTTGGGGTCACTGGAAGGGCTATCTACTTTTTAGGGAACCTGTTTATACTATCAAAACCCAAGGACATAGAGAAGTGAGCCACAGTTATTCAGCATGATGCACATACAGGAAATAGAACTGTCTTTGAAGGAATACTTTTAAAGTTACAGTAAGTCTGATTATTTCCTCCCCTACCTCAGTGTCAATCTCTATAGACCAGTGCATTAGAATCTGGCAAATGAAGAGCCTTTGATCTTTGAGCAATGTTAAATAAATACTGGCCATGTCACTGCTCTCTGGGGTCCCAAATTAATACAGTTGACCCCTTGAATGACACAAGTTTGAACTACTTGGGTCCACTTTTACATGGATTTTTTTCAATGAATATATCAAGACTTGTCATTGGATGCAAGACAGAGGATGCCACAAGCGATGTGGTCGATAGAAATGGAAAAGAAAAAGGACACCTAGTGGTTCTTAACATGTGCTCTAAGCAACTGAGCTGACTGGCCACTGCCTGGGCCAGAGAGAATGCTGGGATCTGAGCAACAGGGAGGAGCTGAGGCCCTGGTGCAGTAACTCAGACTAAGGAGGCAGGAAACCACTGTCCCTCCTGGCCAGGCCGGACCCGCCCTGCCAGGGACAATAGAGCAGCTAATCCACTCTCTGCTTGCTCTCTTTTCTCTGTTGGACTCCACAACCCTCCCATTTCTTTTCTACTTGTCTACTCGTTGCTGCAGCTGAACTTAATTTACCTATTTTATAGACAGTAAAAAGCTAGTAATAGTTAAATTTTGGGGGAGTCAAAAGTTACATGATGGAGGATTTTCAACCATGCTGGAGGTCGGTGCCCCAACCCCAAGCTGTTCAGGGGTCAACTATATTACCTCACCACAAACATGATAGAGTGGATTTCTGACTTGTTTTCAATTTAATACTTAGATCAGTAACATCCCAGTAATGTATCATGGAGAAAATCTTAAAAACTTCAGAAGACACTATTTCCTTGATGGGATTAGAGACGTATCTTAATAAAATCAGCAAATCTTTCCAGTGGGTAGCATGTTCTATCTCTGCCCTATATTAATCAGAGCTGGGGTTCAGAGAACAGAATGTAGGTCAGCTGATTTAAGCAGAAAGGGGTTTATTTCAAGGTATTAAATGGTTTTGAGAATTACTGAAAGGGCCAAAGACACGAGCTGCAGGCCGAGTGTTCAGAGACGGCCTCTAAAGGCATTCTACAGAACGGGGACAGCCAGCATGCTGCCGCCTCTTCTAAGGTCAGGGGCACGTTCTTGAGTCTGCCACCCCAGCCCCTTCAGGTATCTGCTTCAGCCAGGCAGCTGCTGTGATCAGAAGCTTCTGCTGCAGCTGCCCACTCCAAAACCACGCCTCGCCTGCTCCACGCACACCCACCAACCAAATGTCCTGCACCCTGCCACCCCAACACCAGCACAACTAGCGACCCAACGCAGGCACTGCTGCACAGCCTCCAAGAAGCAGTGTGCTACAGGGACCGACCAGCAGAAGTAGCAGGATTGAGAACACAGTCTCTGCCTCATCTTCATTCTCTAAATCCACATGTGCACCTATCAATTCATGAAAGTAAAACAAATCCAGAGCTGCAGTTGCCAGGGCGTCTCAACAATGAGGTTTTCAGACTTACAGCCTCTGCTTTCAAGGCATGCTGGAAAGAGGATGGAATGTGCGTCGAGCACCAATTGACCACAGCCCCCGATTTCAGATGGCACAAGGCCATGGTGATTTTATGCCACCCTGGGCCCCAACATTAAGCCAGAGGGGACTGCTGGGTGCCTTGGGCCTTGAGAAAATGATTCCTTGGCTCTGAAAGCAGTTTCCAGAAGCCTGGTTTTTCCTTTAGCAACTGTGCTCTATGCAGCCAGTTCACATGGGTTGGCTAAGATGTTTCTCCAGCAACTGTGTATGTAACCATTTGGTCCTTTTCATTTGACAAGTAGGATTATACTAGCCAGTGAAGCCAGGATGCTGGCCAAAACCATAAAATGATATTAATCCTAAAATCTTAAGAAGGTGATTGTTAACTTTTATTTAGATTGAGGACCCCTTTGACAATCTCCTGAAAGCTATGGCCCTTCTACCCAAATAAATATTTATATACACAAAATACTGTGTCTAATTTCAGGGGATCTGTGGACACACACCAGCAGGGTTCCAAGCATCCACAGAGCTCAGTTTACGAGCCTTAATATATGCAGCTATGCTGACATAAAGTGACCGGTCACCCCAGTTTGCCCAGGGGTATGTGGAGCTTTCAGTGCTAAAACTGGGGAAGTCCCAGCAAACTGGGAGAGTTGGTCACCCTACTGGATCCCGAAAATTTCCTGAGGCCCTAGACAGTGTGAAATATGTACTTGGGAAAGGCATGTTGGGAGGCTTCTTACTACAGCTCACAACTGACACTCTCAGCTGAAGCAGGTAATTGTCATGGGAATTTAGGCACAGTGACCTACCTGAGCCCACACAGCCGGTGGGCGGTGCAGCCAGGGTGGAAACACAGTTTCTTAGTTTCAGGTGGCCAGCCAGACCTGCACCCCTGGCATGGAACTAGACAAAATACACCACTGCTCCCAGAAGGTAGCCCTACTCACCCAGCAGTTCCTGGAGCACCTGCCTCCTCTGAAGCTGCAGGAGGCCAAGAAGCAGCTCCAGCACCCAGGTTAACTCCTCCCACCCAAGGCTCCAGGAGACGATGGGGGCTGCCTAGGGCCTTAGTGCAGCTCCAGCACCCAGGCAAAGAGGGACCCTTTTGCTCGCATGAAAGTCTCTCTCACCTGCCTGCTGGTGCCTAAAATACATTTTTTTTAAAATAGCAGAATTAGAAGTTTAAAGGCTTAGAGTGAAACTGAGGAGGGAAGCAGATGGTGGTGGTGATTTCACAGCATGAGGAACATACTTAGTACCTCTGAATTGTGCACCAAAAAGAATTAATGCGGTAAAGAAAGAATAAAGAAAACAAACAAAGGGAGTGAATGAGTGTTTTCGTGACCTCTTTATGCTGCTGTGATCTGGGCCTTTCTTTATAATCGGCATGGTCATCATCACTGAGCGTGAGTTTTCTTTGTCTCCTAGGCCGGGCCATCTCGTCTGTGACCAAGAACTTCTTTTCCAAAGCTAATGGAAACAGAGGCACCGCTCCCAACGTGGCTGTGGTGATGGTGGACGGCTGGCCCACAGACAAGGTGGAGGAGGCCTCAAGGCTCGCAAGAGAGTCAGGAATCAACATTTTCTTCATCACCATTGAAGGTGCTGCTGAAAAGGAGAAGCAGTATGTGGTGGAGCCCAACTTTTCAAACAAGGTATATGATTGCCCAGAAACCCAACCAACATAAGGATTCCATGCACTTTTCAGAGCGGGAACAGCCATCGAGGCTGTTTCTTGTTCCTTCAAATGGGCGTTGAGCCTACTTCCAAGAAGGAGGGCCTCCAGTGAGGGTCTACGAAGTCTGGAACCTGGAATTACTCTCTCAAAGCAAGACCCCAACCCACCTGGGAAACTGAGGCCAGGATCAGCAGCTTGGGAGGAGCAGGGTCCCCAGGCCTCACACGGAGGCTCCCTGGGCAACTCCCACAGCCCACAGGGACCTCAGCCTGGCAGCCGAACGAGCCTTCACACAAGCATGCACACGGCCACACACACACTCTCTCACACACATGTACACACACACACACACACACACACACACACACACTGCAAATTAACTGACCTGATAAACAAGAAAAAGGAAGGTCTTGAATCAGGTCAGGGAGATCAGGTTTTCAAACACTGCTGTTGGGTTCTGTGGAGACGCCTGGCAGGAGAAGGCGGCAGAACAGATGGGGATCTAGGCCTCCACATGCACTCTGCCAAGCAGCCCACCTTTTATATGTTTTACCCACTGGGACTCCACATAAACCTTCCTCCAAAGAAAAGACTTCAGCTTTAGGAAGGAAGGGAGGGAAGAAAAGGAAGGCCATGTATTGGCTTGTTCTGGATGCCCTTCTGGCTGTAATAGTCAATGTTTCTAAATCTGATGGTGCTCAACCTCCTGCACCATATCGAACAGCTGACCCCTTCATTGTCCTTTGAAATGCTAGTCTCCCTTGACTTCCAGGACACAGTGTAGCTCTTACCCCATTTGCCCTCCCCTCTTTTCTGTCTTGTGCCCTCGGGGTAGACTTGCGCACGACTTGGTTCTTGGCCCTCTCCTCTTTGCTCCCTAGGCTTTATCCTCCAGAATCCGGGCCGGCGCACAGCTGCTGCCTTCACGCACAGAGGTGCCACCCATCTCCACCTCTGGTCTCTCGAGCTCTACTGCTGTCAGTTTCCAGGGGACTGACTTTCTCCACTTGATGTCCCTAAGAACCTTAAATCTTACATGTACAAAGCCAAGTGCGTCATCATCTTTCCCACCTAAATTGGTTCCTCCTTTGGACTTTACATCAATGGCCCTCTGCCACCTCAGAGGCCCTGTGTCATCCCAGGATGCCTCATTAGCCACCCTATGTCACCTATGTCACGTCTGTTACTCTCTGCCACCTGGTGTGCCCTCCCCAGTTCAAGCAGTACTCCACATCTGGTCTGTTTCCCTCCTGGATCTCCCAGTTAAGCTTGGATTTCACACTGAAGCCCAACTCATGTTTATAAAGAGTTCTTCCAGTCCTATGGGGTCCTTGCTCCAAATCCTTATGACTCCCCATTACTCCTGAGGCCTCTGAAATGTGGTCCTAAGCCACGTCCATGGCCCATCTACTGCGGCTCCCCCATGGGCCCCATACTGCAGCCTGCTGGTCTCCTGTCCACGCCCAGCACCACTCTCTCACACCATGGCCTCTCTCAGGCTGCCTGGAGGGACCCAATGCAGCTCTACCTCAACGCTCACCATGGAAAGTTTTATAAACCCCGTTGAGATTTTTACAGACCAATTTAAAAACATTTCTTAGGCTGTTATAAAGTCATTTCTTGTTTTAAAATACATTTCTGATTATACAGCTTCATCTGTAGTCTTCAGGTCTGTGATTCACTCTGTGACCCCAGAGTCGATGGCAAGGAGCAAACACTCCACTTCGGAAAACCAGCCCAGTCGCTTCCAGGAACACACCAACCAGGTGGCCCCATGTTTATTTGCAGCTGCCTTAAGTTTTTTCTGGAAGAATCTTGGGCACAAGTAAATAAATACTCATTTTCCTGGATGTAGGGTTGTCTGAAGGACAGAGCTTAAGTTTAGAAGGCAAAGAGGTTTTTGTTCCAGACTCAAGGACTCAGGGATGTCCCTTGCAGCTGGGCCTGTTTCATCCTTCATGAAGTTGGGGGTGGGGGTGGGTTCCACCTTGTAGGGCTAGGTGGGTGTTTAAGGAGAGAATCTCTCCACAAACATTCAGCGTGAGCCTGACACCTGTGTGGAACCTCTTCTTGGCACGTGCAGAGCTGCTCTGCAAACATTTCTTTAGCTATTTGTCATGTGTGCCTTGTTTTCCTAATCAGAACAAAAACTTTCCTTAATCTTCACATATGTTGGCACCCAGCAGGGCCAATCTTATGGCTGGCTGATGGGACAAAAGGACTGAGGGGCCTAGAGAGGCATAAATATGAAGCTGAAACTAGTGATTCACATCCCCCTCTGGATTTGCTTAACTGATGGTTCTCTACTCAAACAGAGACCCCAGAGGGAGTACGAGTGAGTCCAGAGATGAACTGAGGGGTCTTTGCCCCAGTGAGTGCCTGACTGGGTGAACTGAGATGGAGAAGGAACTTTAGGAGGAAGAGTACAGAGAACAAGGGTCTGTTTGCTTCTCCACCTGCCCTGAGGGTCAAGGGTAATGTTGGCAGACTGGAGCATTTAAACCTGACTTGGCGAGTGTCCCTCCCCTCTGTCTTCCAGGCTGTGTGCAGAACAAACGGCTTTTACTCACTCAATGTGCAGAGCTGGCTCAGCCTCCACAAGACCGTGCAGCCCCTGGTGAAGCGAGTCTGTGACACCGACCGTCTGGCTTGCAGCAAGACCTGCCTAAACTCAGCAGACATTGGCTTCATCATTGACGGCTCCAGCAGCGTGGGGACAGGCAACTTCCGCACGGTTCTCCAGTTTGTGGCCAACCTCAGCAGAGAGTTTGAGATTTCAGACACAGACACACGCATCGGGGCTGTGCAGTACACCTACGAGCAGCGGCTGGAGTTTGGGTTCGACCAGTACAGCTCCAAGTCCGACATCCTCAATGCCATCAAGAGGGTGGGGTACTGGAGCGGGGGCACCAGTACGGGGGCTGCCATCAACTACGCCCTAGAACAGCTCTTCAAGAAGTCCAAGCTCAACAAGAGGAAGCTAATGATCCTCATCACTGACGGGAGGTCCTACGATGATGTCCGAATACCAGCCATCACTGCCCATCACCAGGGTGAGCCCATCTCCCGACTAGTCTGGGGCTGAGCGTCTTTCCAAGGCTTGGCAGGCCAGGGGGACAAGAAAGGGGCTGTCTTTATGCACTGGTTTTGTCTGCCACTTAAATGTTCAAAACCATAGGGAGAGCATTCGGGGTGGAGTCAAACACTGCAGGCCCCACTGAGTGGTGAAAAAGGAACACGGTGGGGAGCGTCCAGGTAGTTTCCAAACTGCCATGGCGAATGCCAAGGCCTGCAGGTGATGGGGAACATTCACCCTCCCCTTTACATCCTGCATCCTGAGGTGTTGCACACGAAGGTGTGACACATTAAAAAAAAACTTGACTCATTACTTTAATCTCTACTGAAGATCCCCAAACTGTGTTGGAAATATGAAGAAAACTAATGTTTTCAAAAAAAAGCACTACTTTTGTAAGCAGCTGCTAACCAGATGTTAGGGATTCTGGAGAGACCTCAAAGAAAGTGTCCTTCAAAATATTTAAAGAGATATTTCCATATGTAGGATTGCATGAGTGCAACAGGAAGCCTAAAAACGTGAAAAATAAACAAAATGTTTTTGTAAATGTTTAGAAAATCAGTCACATTTTATGCCTTTTTCATAGAATCGATGTTTGATCACAATTTTGAAAAGTGCCATAAAATACCATAAAACTACAACAGCCTGAAGCAAGCCGCTGGTGATAGCGATGCTCAGTGGTTAGTGGCCAGCACAGACGTACAGATAAGGTCTGCCATGCTTGACCCATTCAGGGCCCTGGCTGTTTTCTTCTTCAGGGCCAACACTTAGTTTGGGTCAGTTTGAAGGATTTGGGGTGTTCTTTACAGCTGCTTTTAATCCTTCCTCAAACAAGGAAGGGCGAACATAAACAAGCCTTCCCAAACCAGCAGTTCTAGCTTCTGGAAACCAAAGTACCCAGACACCAGGTTCAGGCAGTCTTCCCAGCGATTTATCCTGCAGAGCCCGTGGAGTGTAGTCACAATGGCTGGATGGCAGATGGCCTGCGTGCCAGTAATCACCATGTTCCTTGGGTACATGTCAGCCGAGTGAAGATGGTTTAAGGCTCAGAGGCAACCTACCCAAAGTTCCCAAGTAAGTGGGCAGAGCCAGGTGGGCCAACTCTTGGCTGCAAGCCTAGGGCTCTCCTGCTTTCTCCAAACATCTGTCTCCAGCTCATACTCCAGCGCCAGCTCCACTCCCACTTATTTTTCTAAGTAGACCTCCTTTGGGCCTCACTCAGAGGGTGTCTTCAGCCTCCTCATCAGAAGTGAAGACTGAGGGAGATATCCTGGAGGTTATCAGGCCTGCCATGTTCTGGGCAGCTTTAAAGAACTTGGACCAATAGCTGCAAATGACCTGGCAGCAATGAGCATTGTATCCCTGGGAGTGTCCACACCAGGCTGGGTGACGTCTGTCAGAACTGCCAGTAGAAGCTCCCATATAGCAACAGTGGATTTAAGGATACAAAAAATTAATTAATGATATTGTTTGTGTTGTCTTTATG